CCTTGACTAAAATAAATGGTGAAAGCCCAAACTACAACAGTAAGAACAGTTTAATAGAATTCAGACATTAGGATGCTAAACTGGGCTGGATGCAGTGGTTCATTGCCTATAATCCCAGCACTTTGGGAGGCTGAGGTGTGAGGATCGCTATAGGCCAGGAGTTTGAGATCAGTCTGGGCAACACAGTGAGATCCTATCTCTACCAAAAAAAAATTATTTTTAATTAGCCAGGAGTGGTGGCACAGGCCTGGAGTCCCAGCTACTCAGGTGGGTGAGGCAGGAAGATCGCTTGAGCCCAGGAATTTGAGGTTGCTGTGAGCTATGGATGACATCACTACAATCCAGCCTGGGCAACAGAGAGCAAGAAGACCCTGTCTCTTAAAAAAAAAAAAAAGTTGCTTGAGCCCAGGAGTTTGAGATTGCTGTGAACTAGGCTGATGCCAGGGCACTCACTCTAGCCCAGGCAACAAAGACTCTGTCTCAAGAAAAAAAAAAAAAAAATGGTAAACTGGACATAAAGTGGAAACTAATTGAATTTGGAGATAGAAGAGATACTTTGAAAGAAGTCTGTACAGGGTGCATTTGAAGCAAATAGGAGTAGTAAAATCTACAGGCAGTGTGGTGTAAGGAAGGAAAAACTTCATGGAGGAAATGATATTTTGTTTTGATCTCCAGAGATGTGGATTATAAGTTAGGGGCAGAGTGGGAATTAAGGGGTGGGGAGTGAAGACAGCAGCATGAGCAAAGGTATATGGACTAGCATGGCAGGCTAGAGCCCTTATCTACATATAGACTACATACATCCTGGATCGTAAGCTGATATGATTATTGAATGAAACATCTGGTGGTCTTAGAAAGTGGTAGATATATATGCACACAGAAGAGACGTGAATTGCTGAGAGCAAACGGCAAAATGTAGTGAGTTATCTGCATGGTCACCAACAAGTCCTCTCACCCTGTATTCACAAGCCATTCCTCTTATCAAGATGGAGTCTATTTTACACAAATGTTTATAATAGCCAAAAGTAGAAACAACCCAAATGCCCACCAACTAATGAATGTGGTACATCCATACAATGGAATATTATTTGGCAATAGAAAGGAATGAAGAACTGATACATGCTACAACATGGATGAACCTTGAAAACATTAAGCTAAGTGAAAAAAATAGTCACAAAAGCCCAAATATTATATGACTCCTTTTATATGAAATGTCTAGAACAGACAAATCTATAGAGACAGAAAGTAGATTAATGAAGGTGAAGGGAAATGGGGAGTGACGGAGTTTCTTTTTGGCATAAAAATGTTCTGGAAGGCTGGGCATGGTAGCTCACATCTATAATCCCAGCACTCTGGGAGGCCGAGGAGATAGGATTACTTGAACCCAGAAGTCTAAGACCAGCCTGGGCAGCATAGCAAGACCTCCTCTCTACAAAAATATAAAATTTTAAAATGTTCTGGAATTTTGATAGTGGTGATGGTTGAAAAACTCTAAATATTGGACTGTACAATTTAAATGGGTTAATTGTATGGTGTATGCATTATATCTCAATAAAGCTGTTACCAAAAAAAGTAGGAGGAGGAGGAGATGGTATCTGTTGCTCCTCCTACTGAGCATGGCTAGCCTTGTGACTTGCTTTGAATAATGACTGTGCCAGTTCTGGGCCTAGCCGTCAAAAGCCTGGCAGCTTCCACTTTTACCCTCTCAGAAGCTACTTACTTGCTACGTAAAGCAGCTCAGGCTAGACCTCCCAATGATCAGAGAGGCCTCAGAGAGGCAAACCAAGAACTCAGTCATGTTGAGTGAGGCCATCTGGGACATCCTAGTCCCACAGTCTGGCTAACAGCCGAATACAGTCACATGAGTGACCCCAGGAGAGATCACATGAAGCAGAGGAACCTCCCAGTCAATGCAGAGAATCATGAGAAATAATAATAAATCATTGTTGTTTTAAGCCACTGAGTTTTGGGATATTTATACAATAGATAACTGAAACACAACCTCTCTGAGCCTCAGATTCCACCTTTGTAACATGGGAATGATACTTCAGGGTTGTTGTTAATATTACATGAGGTTAATACCAAGCACTGTGTTCAAGAAATACTAGTTGCTACAGTTATTAAAAACTACCCAGGAGATCCTTAAGGTAACCTACTAGGTATGCTCTCTAGGATGCCTCATTCTCACAAGCACCTACTGCTTCCAATCACATGGTTTCCAAAAGAATGGTTTCCCAAGAAAAACAAAAGGTGGTTTTTGGCCACAATTTCTGAAAAATGAACTCTGAATCACAAACAGATGACAAAAGAAGGTTCTTCTTAGATAGCCATCTATCCCCACCTGCCCATCCATTCATCACACCTTTTTTAAAGCCCTTTAAAATTAATTACCAGACACAAACTAAGAAAAAAGGAGATCCCCCTTCCTTTGAAAAAGACCATTTCCACCTATGTAGCCATTACCAAAATGGATTACACAGTTGAACCTGAGTGGCAAGCAGCTCTATAGTAGTAGATAAAATTATCCAGCTGGAGATAAAAAGCTTAAATTTCCATACAGAGCTCAGATACACAGCATGAGAACACATGATTCCGACTAGGGATCCCAGAGGCAATATCAAGAGCAAGGAATGAAATGGGTCCCTAAAGGGTTCATCCTTTAATGAGCCTACACCCCCAAAGGGTCCCATTCACAGAACCTGGACCCCAGGTGAGAGAACTTGACTATCTGGCATCACCTGCCATGTCTGGGTACAGAATGGGTCCAGAGAGTTAACAATTCACATGCCAATGAAAAAAGAAAAATTCCACAGAAAAGGATATCAAACAGTTTTGAAATGCATTTGTGAAATCAATCATGATTGAAAGGCTAAACTCAACGAGCCTTTAATCCTAAGAATTAAGAAATTATTTTTCTTCCAAAAGGCTAACATCAATACTTAAATTACACCACAAGTAAGAAAGAGGACCAAATCTGTGAGTATTTTCTCACGAGGGGAAAATGTCCATCAAACCTAGAAAGCATTTATTCTAAACAAGTTCAATAAAGTTCTAAGCTCATCAAATACTAGTAACAGAGTCAGTATAAACACTGGCCTGGAAATGGACAGAAAAAACATGAGGGCTATGGGTGAAAGACATAACAACCAGATAGGCATTAGGCTGAGTCTACTGGATAACCCAAATGCTGGGATGACTTTTTAAAAAATCAATGTATAATATATAGCAAAGTGCACAAATCATAAGTGCACATTCTGAAGAATGTTTCTACCTAGATTAAGATACAGAATATTCCTAATATGCCAGAAGGTTCCCTTGTGCCCATGTTAATCAATAACCAACCCCCTCGCCATCCAGCCCAACTCCATAGTCTGAAGCAACTATTCTGATCTACAGCACCACATACTCTTTTTGTCTATTTTTGAATTTCACATAAATAGAATCATATAGTATGTGGTCTTTTCCATCTGCTTTCTTTCTTTCATCACAGGGTTACTTCATTTTGAAGCAGAAAACCCAGACGCTGAGATTTTCAGGAAATCCTCCTGTGACATCACAAACTTGAATGCCAACTACTCTGATTACATTGGTTATACTTTCTGCATTCTTTTGAGCATGCATCATAAAACTGTTACAACAGAACAGAATCTCAGACTGTAAAAGTTTTCCTTCAAGATAAACTGGATTCTTTATTCAAATGCTTCCATTTTAACAAGAGTATAAGATGTGACACTATAAAAGTAGAATCTTTCCCATATTGAGTACAAAATTCTTCTTAAATATTATTTTTCTTCTATGGCACCTACCTATTCTAAAGAATCCTCATATCCTAGAATAAAATTAACCATCAATTCTGTTAATTTTGATTAGTAAAGAGTTAAACTATAGGAAAACCTCTCAGAGGAAGCCTAAGGCTCTAAATTCAGATGAATGTGAATCAGCTTTGAAAATGCAGGAGAGTGACAAACAGTGTAGCAATAAATTATAGGTACAGATTTTTTTTAAGGCAAACTATCAGGATTCTAAGCTGAAATGTGCCACTTCTAGCTGGGTGACCTTGGGTAAGTCATTACTCTGTACCTCAATTACTTCACTATAAAATGGGAATAACCTCATAGGATTGTTGCAAGGATTAAATGTTAATGTATATAAAGCTCTTAGGAGACCATGTCACATGTAATAAGCACTCAGTAAGAATTAGCTATCTTAAAAAGCTGAAAGAGCTATAACAGAGCAGCTATCCTGCACACCAATACGTTATAAAATAGTGACCAAACATCTAGCACAGTGCTTCTCAATATATTTTATTTTTAATCCTTTACAAATTGAACTTTTTGTAAGATGCAAGATTACATGCTTGAATGTCACAGCAGTACCAAATTGCTCTAAAAGTTTCTAAATGGTTACTCTCATTTTCTATATTTATCTCATCATAATCCAATAACCATTCACTGTTCACGGACTGGCATTTTGTCTGCAGACTGAACTTTGAGTAGCACTGTTTTTGCACACAAGAACAACTCTGAAGTCTGCTGAAAACTAGCAGGTTACACAGAATTATGAAAATATTTAGTAAAGAAAACCAACCCCAATAGAAGGGGCAAGAGGATGACTTGAGGGTCAACAAGCTGACAGATAAAATAACCCCTAAAGGCTAAACCTGAAAAACAAAACTGGCTGCCAGAGCCAAAACCCAGTTGGTACTTTCTGCTACCAGTGCTCTATGGGGTAGCACTCAGAAAACTTGTCAGCCAGGAAGTCATCAGCCCCAGAGAGAACAAGAGGCATGAATCAAACAGGCAGAGCTGACTTGGGCCTCCTGAGAAGTCATTCTCAAGAGTAAGAAGCCACCCTAAGTCATCATCAAGCTTTGGAGACATCAACCACAAATCACAAAGGCCAGTGTTTCTTCTCTGCCAAAAAAAATAACATGCAAACATTTCCTTTGGTGACGCAGAACTGCACAAATGCATGTAACCCACATATTCACAGACACACACCTGTGGTTTTAGGCGGCTCCTGAGGTCCACCCTGCCAGCCATACTGTGGGTATCCTTGGTAGGGGTACCCCTGAGGAGGTGGGTAGGGCCCCCCCATAGGTCCTGGACCCATTGGTGGTTGTGGATAAGGTGGGTATGGGGCCGTTGGACCAGGGCCAGGATACGGTGGAGGGTTCTCTTGGTTCATCAGGGACCTGCCAAATGCACCTAAGAGACAAAAAGAATGAAAATGATTTGCATTTAACTGGTAGAAATCATTAGGAAAAAAATTCTAACCCATAAAATCAGTTACAAAATGCCTTAAAGGTGTTTCAAGCCTTTTACAAATCTCTAGTTCTGCCCATTTTGCTTCCTTCTCACCATCACAATTGGCAATTATCTTATGTATTTATTTGCCTTTTGTCTATTTCTCCCACTAGACTGTAGCTGTGACAGCCAGGGATCAAGTTCGTTTTGGATCACTACCATATTCCTAGAGCCTTGCATAGGATAGGGCCTGTACCAGGCAGTCCCCTAAATAAATGTGCTGAATGAGTAACAAAATATTTTATTTTTTAAATTCACTGAAATGTGCATAAATATGATTGGACAGCTTTAATAAGGCAGAAAGCCTAACAGCACTGTGACTCAGTTCAGTAGACACTGACCCACTACTAGAAAATATTAAACAGGGTTGGACCACATTGGGGTCTTCTAACAAATAGCAGTGACCAACCAAAGGTAATCATTGCCACTGCTCTGGGCACTGGAGTGATCTGGTTGCTCTCCTCAGACCCACTACTCTGAGGAGTTAGGCAGAGCTATAGAGAATACCAAGTGTCTCCTCTGACCATGCAGGCTCCCAGGACTCTGGAGGGCTCACCAGGAGCCCTCACTTGTGTCTATAGGTTCCTGTCCTTAGGGGTCTGCTTCTGTGAGTGAGGCTATGCTTCCCTGGAGCCCAAGCCTGTTAGTCATTCTCTTGATTGGGCTTGAAGTGTCAAGAGCTGCATCTTGTTCCCATCATCTCTTTAACCTCTAGGGTGCCTGGCACAGTGATCCCCAGATTAAAAGCAAACAATTACTGGCGAATGCAAAGTATATAGTCTACGGATGACTCACTTAAACAACATATCTATCATACTGCTACCTTGTTCTGTTACCTATCTCCTACACTGCTATTTAACTTTTTATCTATTTGAGTGTCTTCTACCCCTAACTAAACAGTAGGGAAGAATTTCATACTAAAAATTTAACAATTTAACTATTATTTTTCATGATATGCAATCAATAAATTCATAAGTGACTTCATATGAAAGATAGAATTGTCCAAAAGTAAGGTTCCCTAGAAAATCTGGATTAGTGTAACACTGGACTTTGCTGGTGGCCCACACAATATCCATATTCTTCCTTCCTAACGGTAGTTGGATTTCCAGGTAGGTATCCATTCATTCTTCCTGTAGTCCATGTGCTTCAGGGAAAGCTCATCCCATCCCAACTTCAGGATGAGCCCAGCCTAGGTAAGCCAATTCAGGTCATCCTCTCCTCTTTTTCATCACCATTGATTCAAGGGATCTAGGACTAAGCCAAATGCAAATGGCATCCCCTGGTCACTGGGACTAGTTCTGAAGTGGTTCTGTCAGTAAAAAACTCGGCCTTTCCCATCTGACCTTCTCTTCCCTTTAACACAGGGATACACAAAGTCTAGGAAACACACGACCTACAAGATTGCTGACATCCAATTTGCAGCACTGAGAAGGAGTCAGCTTTAAGACAAAGTGGGCATTTCAGAAAGGCAGAGCAGGAAAAAGGAAAGAAACAGGATTCTAGATGACTTTATAACAGCTCATCAATCAAAGACTGAAGCTCAGCCTAACCTAAACTACCTCTATAGAATTTCCAGTCCTGGAAACCAATAGTAAGGTAAGCAAATGAACCTTCTGGGTACATTCAACCAAACATACATTATGCAGTGCTGACTAAGTGCCTGACTATGGGTTAAGTGGGGTATAGCGATCAATATGGCTAAAACCCTTCCCTTGGGCAACTGGTTGAGAAGACAAGCATAAAAACAATGGTTTTTAGAAAAGGTGGTAAACAGGCTGCTGGGTAGCAAGGAGTAGGGACTTAAATCCAGTAGAAGGAGATAGAAGTACAGCGTATCCCTTGAAAGAGGTGATTATAAATTGAAACTTTATAATATGGAATCAGGATGGCTTGAGAGTCTCTATTTCAATCTGCAATCTGTCTCCCCTTTTAGAGACCTTTTCTTTTTTTTAAGAGGCAGGCTTGTTCTGTCACCCAGGCTGAAGTACACTGATGTGATCATAGCTCACTTCAGCCTCGAACTCCTGGGCTTCAACCAATTCTCTTGCCTCAGCTTCATGAGTAGCTAGGACTACAGTCATGCGCCACCACACCCAGCTAATGTTAAAATTTTTTATAGAGATGGGGTCTTGCTATGTTGCCCAGGCTAGTCTTGAACTCCTGGCCTCAAGTAATCCTCCTACCTTGGCCACCCAAAGTGCTGGGATTACAGGCCTAAGCCACCACAACCAGCCACAAGATCTTATCTATCCAGGAACTGAAAGGACTCACAAAAGAACTTCTTTCCCTTCTCGTGCTCTGGTCTATGCCAATTGGCAGTACATTCTGACATAGGAATGGCCTTTCCCCTCACCCTAATGCAGAGGCTCATGGTGACTAACACTATAATTATTACATAAATTCGGACTTACATAAATGCATTTCGTTTTTTCTCTCCTACTAGGAAGGCTATGGAAAACCTAGTGAGCTCTGGTTAACAGAAATTATTTGCATTAACTCCTATATGGCCATTCCATTATTTATTTTTAAATCACAAAAGTAGAACACAGCCATCATAAATACTCTGTCCTGAAATTCAGTGTGACCTAATTTCATTTAAACTGTACTTTAACTTGAACAATCCAACAAGACCATGTAGTAATGATTGCTCTCACTTCAGCAAAATCTAGACCTATATTTCTCTGAAGACATTGTTCTTCTAAGAACAATGGACAGTGAGGAGAAAAAAAGAACAAAGAGTATACTACTACAACTTCAGACTTCAATGTTTCCTGACTTTTGTTGATCTACCTATTCGCATCTATTTCCTCATTATTCTGTGAAGTTCTCTCCCTGGAACCCTCAAAACTCTCTTCCAAGTGTACATGTCCTCCCCACTTATCTATTCCTCAATCATGTTTCCCCCTCATTTTTGGTATGTACCTTTCTCCCTCTGCCTGAAGAATCATGTAAGGTCTAGGGGGAAAAAAATCCCACATGCTATTCACAGAGGCATTTATAAAAAGCATAAACCACAAAGGTGCTCCAGCTACAATGACCCCCTTCCACACATAGACTCCCTGCCTTTCCCAAGATAGACAGTCATCTTAGAGGAAAAAAGATCTGAATCTATTTTCAGTTTCCCCTAGGAAGGAAAAAATCCCAGTGAGAGAACACCAAAAGTAAGAAAGAGCATCTTCTTTGTGCGGTGCTGGATCAAAGATCCTAAAGCAGGCATTTGGAAAGCAGGACTTCACCCAGTGGGAATCAATTGTTCCTAAGCTAGTAAAGAAGCAAATTAAAGTAAAAAAGATTACCTAAAACTGATACAGTCTAGTACAAACCACTTAACACAGCCAAACACAAACGAGCTTGAGATTTAAGGTATGATACTGATCTTTGTTTAACATAACTGCTTTCCCTCATAAATTTGGTCAGGTAAAATATAAACCCAACTATAGTGGAGTGTTACACTAAGGATCAAATGTAAACAGTGTAATTGTAGCATTAAAGACCAATCAGAGCTCCAAAAGGGATAGTTCAAATAGTGCAGCAGCTAAGATCCATTAATAGACTTTAATGAACACCGTTATTGCACACTCACATTCGAGAGATGCTCAAAGTCATGATATTAGTAGTCATTCAATCACATAATACAATGAGAAGAACAAAAGCTATTCTTTAGGAAAGTAATCAATGAAGATAAGATAATATGAAAGACCTCATCAAACTAGAGATGCAGAAAAAATAATATTTTCCAAAGTTGTTGTTATTTTTAAAATTTTAAGATACCTGATAGATTGGCATCAATTCTGCAGACAGTACAGTGGAGGATTTTCCTCTGGAACAACTGAACAGTCCCAATGGGGAAAAAAAAAAAGATACTAATACTTGGGGAGACACCAAAGAAATGACTCACACAATCACCCATAATGTGCCCATGCACACAGAACTTCTAATGGACTTCTTATTGCCTCATGCATAAATGAATGAACAAAGATTATCAGATATTAGAGGAAAGCCTCCAACATAAAAGATAGACCAAAACAAAACAGAGAAAGGAAAAAACAAACTAAATGTCCAAAGAAAGAAATAGTTAAATAAATTATGGTGCATCTAACAGGTTTTTTTGCAGTCATTTTTAATTTATGCTTTTTAAGTACATGTATTAATAATATTGTGTTAGAAAAATTTAAAAACCATACATTCATGGCTGAACGCGGTGGCTCACGCCTGTAATCCTAGCACTCTGGGAGGCTGAGGTGGGCTGATTGCTCAAGATCAGGAGTTCGAAACCAGTCTGAGCAAGAGCAAGACCCCGTCTCTACTATAAATAGAAAGAAATTAATTGGTCAACTAATATATATAGAAAAAATTAGCCGGGCATGGTGGCACATGCCTACAGTCCCAGCCACTTGGGAGGCTGAGGCAGTAGGATTGCTTGAGCTCAGGAGTTTGAGGTTGCTGTGAGCTAGGCTGATGCCAGGGCACTCACTCTAGCTTGGACAGCAAAGTGAGACTCTGTCTCAAAAAAAAAAAAAAAAAAAAAAAACCAAACCAAACAAACCAAAAAAACCATACATTCAGCATGACCTCAATTTTCTTTAAAATAGATATTAATAGATCAATCTATTAATCAATGGATCAACAGATTACAATATTAATAAATCAATAGAAGGAAGCATTGGTGTAAAACACACAGTACAATCACCTAATTTAACAGAAAGTCATCACTATAATTCAGAAAGAAAAGGTAGTTTTTCCAATAAATAGTGCTGGATTAATTGGATATCCTTGTAGTGAGGGAGGGGGGTGAACCTTGACCCTCACCCTTATATACAAAGAACAATTCATATACCATAGACCTATATATAAAAGTTAAAACAATCAAGCTTTTAATAGAAGAAAGCATATCATATATT